GGGGGGGGGGAGGGAGCGAGAGGGAGGGAGGGAGAGGCAGAAGATGGGAGGGAGGAAAAAACCCTCGCAAAAACACATGCCGGAATGAAGGAAGGAAGGCAACAATCGTCTACCCCTCAATCAGCACCACAGTTCAGATTCACTCCGCGGCGCAATTGCGATTCAAAAACCTCAACCGACCCAGAAGTGTGCACTCAGATGAACAATTAGACATGGCCCTGGCGCTCTGGCAGGCAAAACAGGGATAAACCCGAAAGATTAATAAAATAATAAAAATATACATTTGATTGTTTAATTATTCAATTTAATTGTTTCATTGGTAACTATTCGATTATTTAATTTCCAATATACACCCACCTCGGAGTTGGCTTTGGGTCTTGCACAGTCTTTTTTTTTTTTTTTTTTTTTTTTTTTTTCCCCTCCAGTCACGGTCAGTTGCATGGTACCCCTAGGCCGCTCGTCCAGTCAGGCCAGCCCAGTAGGCCCTAAATTGAGGTCGCAACGGACCCAAATACCTGCTTCGGTAGGGACTTCACCGATAAGCAGTCCCTACCGGCAAGAGCAAACACCGGCTCAGAACAAAACACAGGCCAGGGGTTTGGGCCACACATTCAGGCAGGTCGCTTGTGCTAGTGCTGGCATATTGCGTACAAGCGACATAGCAACCGGGCAGCCTGGCAGTGTGGTCGTGCTGGGGGGAAGGAAGGCGCCATAGCCAGTAGGTCGCCGAGCCTGGGAGAGAGAGGTGGTGAAGCATAGAGGAAGTGCTTGGGTGGCAGGGAAGGCTGTGAAGGTAGGCGGATACCAACCCGGCGATCAGCGAAAGAGATCCAGCATCGTCAGACTCCTTAACAGTCATCGGCATGAGTCGGCGGCAGAAAGCTCAGCGACTACCGTCTTCCCACAAATAAAAAATGCAGTCATTACAGCTGTATGTAGACAGAAAGTTGCCCCAATACAGGCAAAATGACTGTACGTTATATTCGGGGGAAGACAGTAGTAGATTACAGGCCAGGTTAGGAAGTAGCATAGGCGTCCAGACCTGAGTTGAGGCCTGCTACTCTGTTGCTGTATTGATTGATAGGAGGCAAGCAGAGGGCTTCCATTATCAAGACACTTAGCTGCTTCTCTGTGTGTTCTTGCCTTGGTGTGATCTCAGCCTTGTCATCTTAGTCTTGAACCTTCTGAACTCCGTTTTCTTTTTTTTTGTATGAGCCTTCTGAATTCTTTTTTTTTTGTATGAACCTTCTGAATTATTTTTTCTTTTTTCTTTTTGTATGAACCTTCTAAATTCTGCTTTCTGGTTTTAACATTTCATACATGCCATTCAACGAGTTCGTGTGGGTCAGAAATTTGAAGTTCCCACAGGCCGGTTCCTTGCGATCTGGTATCAGATTGGTACCAGATCGGTACCAGATCGGTACCTCTGGTTGTCGTCATCCTAGCTGATGGGCTAGGATGCATGGTGTCGGCGTTCGTTGACAGACAATGCGTTAACTTCTTGTAGGTTTTAAACCACAAGTACTTGGCCCAGCTACCGGCCGCGGAAAAAAAAAATAATACAGTAGAAACGTTTCTAGTTGAATGAATTTGGGCGCTCCTGTAGTGGCCTGTACGTTTCCTAAAACCGTCGCTTGTTTACGGGCACGAGTGCAGGAAGTACTGGTGGTTTTAAGTGTCATACGCTAGGTAGAGAGCACATGGGAGCAAGAATATTTGCACTGCGTTCGACAAACAGTGAGAATATTTTTGGTGTTTGCTGTTACTCGAGGTCGTACTCGACGTGAATACGCCTGTAGTTCCTATGCATGACCGGTCATCAAACTGTGGCAGATGCGGCTGTTGGTGAGGTGATCTGGTGTTGGGACATCATCAAGTTAACAAGAACCCCTAACCCTATCCCTATCTAGCCGTCCGCTTATCTTTGTACCGTGAAGAAGGGCGTTTTACTTGAGGGTCGTCTCATTGGTGACGTGCAAGTACGCATTACCTGTTTCGCTAGAGGGTCGCCTGATTGGTGAGGTGCAAGTACATGCTACCTTTTCGATAGGCGTCCCGCTTCTGGCACATCTGCCGGTGGGAGTAGGGAGGTGTACGGGAGGTGCCCTGAGGACGGGGCGGAGCACATGATGTGGGTATATAGCTCGCACACATTCCTGTCCAGATCAGACTCGGCTGCAGCATCACGATAGCATGTTAACTTAGTCGTGGCCACGCCATCGTGTTTTTTTTTCTAGTCTTTTCAACATTAAATCATTCCCCGCGTGATCGTTTGTCCTGCTGCAACGTTAAATATAATTCTTGATTCATCGTCCCGTTGTAATGTTGAATAACTTCTGGCGGGTGATTCTTTCCACGTTCTACCGGAAAATGCTATCGCACCGCTCCATTTAGTACATTTGGTGCGTTTTGCAGCGAGGCCCTGCGTCTCTGTGTGAGTTCCTCTGCTTCTTCCTTGCCTCGCTGAGAATCATGGCGGAACTGGAAAACGACAAACAACGATGGCTAGACATAATCTAATTATTACATTTAAATGAAATGATTTAACAGATTGATACTTCACATTTCTTTGTTGCTAGATCGTCCCCTGCTCACTATCGCACCATACCTGCTACTGCACCAACAGAGTACAAATGGAATTTCACAACAACAACAACAACACAACAACAATGCCAACTAGAGGTGCAAGGAAAAAAGAAGAAAGGGAACAATGAAGAACAAGACACGGAGCAACTTTAGTGTGGAGGTTGTTTTACCCGTCAAAGAGGAGGACGCTATCTTGCTGTCAACAACAATGCCCTTGAGTACTATGTAGACTGCAGCGGGACTTGTCCATTTGTGGGCTGACATCTCAGCCTTCTCCATCCCACTTCCGAGTTGTGCCAGTCCTTCCACCGTATGTGTGAGTCCTTTATCTCTGCCACTCTGCCACTCTGCCACCTGCCAGCCAAACCTCGGTGAATTTTGCTAGAATTCTCCACTGTTGGTCCACATCGTCCGGCAAGGAGTGTCTTATCTTCTTCCATTTGATTTGATCGGGGGAGGGGGGGGGGGGGCTTCTGTCCTCCCTCTTTCTGAAATTCTTTATTCTTTGATTAGCGTGAAATAATGCTGGAGATACGGGAGCCAGAGTCGGAAGCTAGAGTCGGGAGCTAGTGACGTTGCAAGAAACAGCTTCACAACCATGAGAGAAGATGTCGCACGGCGTGATCTCGGCGGTGCTGTTCAAGAAAGGAGACAAGGCAGAGGTGAGAAACTGGCACCCGATGTCCTTGCTGAACATTTCGTACAAGATCTTGGTTAAGACGCTCGCTCGCAAAGAGGGTGGGTCCGTACCTACCTGAGCTGGTGGAGAAGGACCAGGGCGTGTTTGTTCAAGCGAGGTCGATCTTCAATAACATAGCGTAGCGACAACCATTAAGGTCCTCAAAGTGGTTCCAAGCAGATAACTTGGACACAGCTCAGGGGCCCCTTCTCATCGGTCTAGAGAAGGCGTATGACAAAGTGGGCGTGGACATTTGTCATGACCACAATGAGACACATGGGCTTCGGAGAGGTTTTCTGCAAATGGGTGATGCCGCCGTATGCGTTCTCCACATCAGCGGTCATGGTCAACGGTTTTTTTGTCGCCCCCTTTCACACCGACGAGATGTTGTAACAAAAACTGTGCGGGATCTTCTCACCTTCCCCCGACCGCAGGGGGGCCTCGGACTGTGGGACCCTGCTAGGAAGAACAGAGTGCAGCTGCGGACCTGGTTGCGGACGATTGCTCACTGGCAGACTCCAAAGAAGACTGACTGGATTGCAATGGCAGAAAGGTTGCTGATGCGCGAACGGGGCCTCAGCAGACCGGAAGACGTTTGGGCCTCTGCTTCTTTACAGAGTCTTTCAGCCGGAAGCGACCAAAGTCCAAATTCTGGAAAGCTATTCTGACTCTGAGGGCCTGGAAGGACTTGCCGCCAGATACTCCACATCGCCCCCTCTAACCAAGGAAGAAGCTGTTCTGTTGGGCCCAACAGCTTTTCGAAAACACCGGCATTCTTCGATCCGATGGTCAGACATCCCTTGCAGATGGTTCTGCACCAACCTTTGGATTGGACTACCGTCTTCACCCGAATAGAACGCCCGGTCATTATAGCCGTATGTGGGCTGAAAGTTGTGCCGAATACAGCTATAATGACCGGGCGTTCTATTCAGGTGAAGACGGTAGCTTGGATACGGAAAGCAGTGACTCGCATTCGGGATTTGTGGTCGTCCTCGTTGGGAGATTGGGAACCACTACCATCTTCACCCGAATAGAACGCCCGGTAATTATCGCCGTATCTGAGCTGAAAGTTGTGCCAAATACAGCTATAATGACCAGGCGTTCTATTCGGGTGAAGACGGTAGCAGTGATCAGGAGGACCCACCTGTCTGGGTTAGGAAGACAACTGGCGGCCTGTCCTGCAAGCAACCCCACAGGATTGGCTCAGAATCCTACGGACCAGAGGGAGTAGATCCGGGGCCAAGTCCCACTTGGTACCCAAATTCTCAACTTCATTTCTGACCGTAGATTACGATGATCAGCGGCCAGAAACGAAGAATCAGGGTACCAAGTGGGACTTGGCCCCCGGAGAGCACCGGGTATGTTGCAGACAATGAGGGAGATGTTGAGGTGGTTGGGAAAGTAAAGGACGTGCTGCCAAGCGGTTTTCAAAGAGTTGAAGAATGGGCATGTAAAGGACACCAGAAAGGACTGAGGAAGTTGGAGGAGGAGATAATAGTCCAAAGATGGTATAATCCACCACAGGCCAGAATTGTGGAACTACAAAACCCTGGGAATCTGACTGTGCTCACCCACCTCGGTAGGCCGCTCTGCGCTAAGGCAACTGCGGATCGACCCGCTCGCCTGGAGCTGAGGCCGAACCCAGAAAGCACAGACTCAGCTCCGATTACTCTCCCCGAGTATGACTCGAGAATTGGCTATGGGCTGACCAATAAAGCTCCCAAGCAACCAGCAACGGTAGCGGCGGTGTCCCGATGGTCAGCAGCACTCACAGGTAGTTTCTCAATACCCGAGCCGCAATGTGAAGCATTGTGTAGAACCCTTTGTGATCTGCCGAGCGGGAAACAGGTAAGCTTGCTGCGGCTGCTGTCCACGTTTGTCACCCCCTCCGCAGTCTGGTTTGAGCCGAGGGGTAAAGGTGGAACTGGGTTGTTGCCGAAGGGTAAAGGTGGAACTGGGTTGGTTCAAGGTGTAGATGGCCGTTGGAATCCACAAGGCATCTACCGGGGGAGTGTCCCAAAGAGTGTACGGCGGCCTCTAAACGTATCCGGCTGTGGTGGGAACATCATTGGAAGAAGATGGGGGGTGGCCGAATGGACTATGGTAGGAGGAGCAATGGGCATTGCTGAGTTTCCTGCCCACAGGCCACCCCTTCGATGGACGGAAAGGAAAGGGGGGTACAT